CGGTAGCTCAAGGCTGCGGTAGCTCCATGCTGCGGTAGCTCCATGCTGCGGTAGCTCCATGCTGCGGTAGCTCCATGCTGCGGTAGCTCAAGGCTGCGGTAGCTCAAGGCTGCGGTAGCTCCATGCTGCGGTAGCTCCATGCTGCGGTAGCTCCATGCTGCGGTAGCTCCATGCTGCGGTAGCTCCATGCTGCGGTAGCTCCATGCTGCGGTAGCTCAAGGCTGCGGTAGCTCCATGCTGCGGTAGCTCCATGCTGCGGTAGCTCAAGGCCGCGGTAGCTCAAGGCTGCGGTAGCTCCATGCTGCGGTAGCTCCATGCTGCGGTAGCTCCAAGCTGCGGTAGCTCAAGGCCGCGGTAGCTCCATGCTGCGGTACCTCAAGGCCGCGGTAGCTCAAGGCTGCGGTAGCTCCATGCTGCGGTAGCTCAAGGCCGCGGTAGCTCAAGGCTGCGGTAGCTCCATGCTGCGGTAGCTCAAGGCTGCGGTAGCTCCATGCTGCGGTAGCTCAAGGCCGCGGTAGCTCAAGGCTGCGGTAGCTCCAAGCTGCGGTAGCTCAAGGCTGCGGTAGCTCCATGCTGCGGTAGCTCAAGGCCGCGGTAGCTACAGAATTCTCTTTCGCCAAAACTTTATAACTTATCAAACTAATTATATAAAAAAGGCCGAGTGAAAACTCATCCTTTTTCTTCTGAATTCATTTTCAATCATTTTCATCATTTTCAATCATTCCAGATTTTCACTTGCACTCTTTCCCTGTTTCGTCGAACCATTTTGTTCCTGCTTTTTCAAATATTTTTCTTTCGCTAGTTTTTTCTAACAGACTTTTTTTTTATTTTCATTCTTTTTTTCTTTGTACGGTCTCAACATTAATCGTATTCTTGTAATTATTTGTTTCCTAAATTCATTGAATTTTCCCTATGTTAGTCTCTAAATTACACTAAATTTTCTTTTTTTCCTCTCTCCCACCTCCTTCATTCCATACAATTTATTTAGCAAGTTAGAAAGAGGCGTGTTTTTTTATTTTGTTTCTATTTTTAGTGTTTATAAATGATTCCATCAGGTATGTGTTGGATACACTTAGCATCTAGTTATTATTCTGCTTGTCTCATGTGCATACACTGCTTGTTTGTCTGCTTAGTTGATACCTGCTTGATACCTGCTTGATACCTGCTTGATACCTGCTAGATGGGGTTCAGGGAGTTCATCTACTCCCCCAAGCCCGGCCCGAGGCCAGGCTTAACGTGTGAGAGAGCAGTCAGGATCAATATCTGACTCTTGGTATATGTGGGGAATATGTACCTAGGTGGCATCACCTCCAAAAAAAAAAAAGTATCTGAGAGGTCAGGATCACAACACCTCTCCCCAACTTTCTCTCCAATATAGATGTTATTAAAAAACTTTCAGACCCTAAATGTGTGTTTACAACTGCATATTTCTTGCCACAAACACACTTTCTAGGTTGAACATTGAACAGTTTAACGCGGTCATCTGTGTAAAATCAACTTTTATATATATATATATATATATATATATATATATATATATATATATATACATATATATATATATATATATATATATATATATATATATATATATATATATATACATATATATATATTATTAAATATGACCGAAAAAGTAAGATTAATAATTCTAACACGAATTTTCTCAATCTTTCGTACATTTTTGAGAAAAATGTGATTGAGAAAATTCGTGTTAGAATTATTAATCTTACTTTTTCGGTCATATTTAATATATATGTCTACAGGAAAGACTGCTACCAAATATACTAATATATATATATATATATATATATATATATATATATATATATATATATATATATATATATATATATATATATATATATATATATATAATCACTAAGAACTCTTTGACCCGGCCATGATTCGAACCCATGCCGTCCAGGATCACCCCTAAACGTACACAGTACCGTGACCACCGCACCAATGATCGTCTAATAGACGATCATTGGTGCGGTGGTCACGGTACTGTGTACGTTTAGGGGTGATCCTGGACGGCATGGGTTCGAATCCTGGCCGGGTCAAAGAGTTCTTAGTGATATATGGCTTGCGCGTTCATGCAGCTTTCTCACATATATATATATATATATATATATAATATATATATATATATATATATATATATATATATAGTGTTGACTTTTCTTCCTTGCTTGCTGATGATTTTCCTATGCAATTTGTAATTATTTTTGTTTGATGGTGGCATTGTCATTGCCATTTGTACATCACGTTGTTTAGAAGGGATTTTAACGCGCCCAGAGGGAGTTGTTTTGTTGCTATATCCTGTTATTCTAGCGGCTGCGATTGGGCAATCTAAACTAACAACATGTAATAGAAATTTGGCCTGAGAACGTACATGAGTTCAGACACCCGTGTGATCGTTCATGCATAAATGTATAGCGCACACACACACACACACAAACACACACACACCTCGCTCTACTGCACTACATATAGGAGAACAGGGCTCTAATATGTAAGACAGGCGAGAATATATGTATCCTAGTCAGCACTGTCAAAGCACTACAATCAACTGTGATTGTAGTGCCTTGACAATCACCTGTGATTGTAGTGCCTTGACAATCACCTGTGATTGTAGTGCCTTGACAATCACCTGTGATTGTAGTGAGCCTAATAACTCACTACACTACATAATAACTAACTGCTCTCTAACCCTGTCCATTGAGGACATAAGAAAATGCTTTTATATATTCTGGTTAGCACAGTAAATGTATGGCCACGTCTGTGGTAGAAAAATAATAAACTAAAAAAAAAAATTTTGCTCGGCTGCATACCTCCTGACCTCCCCCCCCCTTACCCCCCCTACCCCACCCCTACCCCCCCCCCCCCCCCGCCCCCAACGTTGCATTGTCATCTAAATATTTCTTTGACTTTTTGGCTTAGTTTTTCACCTCTTTTGACCTTTGGTCAGCTAGCATACCCCCTTCTCTCCCCCTCTCTCCCCCCCTGTCCGCAACAAACACTCGTCCCTATTACAAGTTTTCCACCATTCAACACCCACACCAGGGCTTGACCTCATTCTCTCTTCTATCCACCTTCGTCTCTATTTCCTTTTCCCCTTTTCTCTCCTATCCTTTTTCTCTCTCCCTCACTCTATCCTCTTTTTCCTCTCTCTCTCTCTCTCTCTCTCTCTCTCTCTCTCTCTCTCTCTCTCTCTCTCTCTCTCTCTCTCTCTCTCTCTCTCTCTCTCTCTCCTTCTCTCTCTAGGCAAGACTTGATTGCAATAAAATGGTTTCTAATAACATTGCAAGCTAAGAGCTGTTATCCTACATTAACTCTAAAACTCATTTATTCGATGAGATTATTAGTGGTTTTCGTTGGTAATTAGCTTTAGTTAATGCTAAATTATATTCATGTCTTGTTATCGGATGAAGCAGGAGCCAACTGTGTGTGCCAAAGCCTCCCCCTTCCTTCCTTCTTTCCTTCCTTCCCTTCTTCCTTCCATCATTCATCTCCTCCTTTTCTCCCTCTGTTTCCCCTCCCCCTCACTCTTTCCTATCGAGAAATGGAATCCTTTGATTTTACGACAGAACGAACGGTTTACACAGCCATAAATGACGTCACATTACTGCTCCTGATGCAGCCTCCTTGCTGGCATTAAGTCTCTCATAAGACATTTTATAGTGCCATCTCAGACGTGGCACTCAGCGAGGGGTCAAGATGCCACGTCCTGGCCAAGTTTTATATCAGTTGTGGTCTATTATTGTGTCAACGGTTTGCTGGGGACAGTCATATACTGTTTTAGAGAGACGCGTTCTACATTCAATAGCTTCTGTTGCAACAGGCAGGAAGGCAGGAACTCAAATAGGAAGGCAGGTAGGCAGGGGAGTAGGTAAGTATAATAGCAAGCAGGCAGGCAGGCAGGCAGGCAGGCAGGCAGGCAGGCAGCAGGCAGGCAGGCCTGAGGACTACGAATCCGAAGCGCTGTCCACTCAGCAGTCAGGCCATAACTAACTCTTGTTTACCCCTCGTTACAATCTCCACAATATCTTCTGCTTAATTATAACTTCTTTAAAATTATTACATGCATCTTCCGGACGATGCCAACAAAATTCTCCCACGATATCCAATTTCATAATTATCCCTCGTAAACAGTTTAGATATAGGGAAAGTGTTACGCCTGAGGAGAAGAACATTTCCACAAACAAAGGTGTCTGGTCCCGCTATCCTCTGCCATACTCAGCATTCTTCAGACGTTAAGTCCAACCTGAGAGTCAGTCAAGACCTTCCTTGATAAGATAATGTGGGGCGAACAAACAGGGGGAGGGAGGGGGGGAAAGAAAGAGAAAGAGAGAGAGAGAGAGAGAGAGAGAGAGAGAGAGAGAGAGAGAGAGAGAGAGAGAGAGAGAGAGAGAGAGAGAGAGAGAGAGAGAGAGAGAGAGAGAGAGAGAGAGAGAGAGAGAGAGAGAGAAGAGAGAGAGAGAGAGAGAGAGAGAGAGAGAGAGAGAGAGAGAGAGAGAGAAGAAGGAGAGAGAGAGAGAGAGAGAGAGAGAGAGAGAGAGAGAGAGAGAGAGAGAGAGAGAGAGAGAGAGAAGAGAGGAGAGAGAGAGAGAGAGAGAGAGAGAGAGAGAGAGGAGAGAGAGAAGAGAGAAAGAAGAGAGAGAGAGAGAGAGAGAGGGAGGAAAGAGAGAAGCGAGACGAGAGGAGAGAGAGAGAGAGAGAGAGGCAGAGAGAGAGATGTAGAAGAGAGAGGAGGATAGATAGAGAGAGAGATGAGACAGAGAGAGACAGAGAGAGAGAGAGAGAGAGAGAGAGAGAGAGAGAGAGAGAGAGAGAGAGAGAGAGAGAGAGAGAGAGAGAGAAGAGAGAGAGAGAAAGAAAGGAAATATACGGAAAAAATTATAATTGAAGACCTTTTGGACCAAGATTTTGTTATATTTTAGGAAAGTTGGCCACCAGGCACACCATGGCCCTCAGACCTCACAGCCAGGCACACCATGGCCCTCAGACCTCACAGCCAGGCACACCATGGCCCTCAGACCTCACAGCCAGGCACACCATGGCCCTCAGGCCTCACAGCCAGGCACACCATGGCCCTCAGACCTCACAGCCAGGCACACCATGGCCCTCAGACCTCACAGCCAGGCACACCATGGCCCTCAGACCTCACAGCCAGGCACACCATGGCCCTCAGAGCCTCACAGCCAGGCCTCACACACCATGGCCCCAGGGCCTCAGAGCCAGGCACACCATGCCCTCAGACCTCACAGCCAGGCACACCATGGCCCTCAGACCTCACAGCCAGGCACACCATGGCCCTCAGACCTCACAGCCAGGTACACCATGGCCCTCAGGGCCTCACAGCCAGGCACCCCATGGCCCTCAGACCTCAGAGCCAGGTACACCATGGCCCTCAGACCTCACAGCCAGGCACACCATGGCCCTCAGACCTCACAGCCAGGCACACCATGGCCCTCAGACCTCACAGCCAGGTACACCATGGCCCTCAGACCTCACAGCCAGGCAGCCAGGCACACCATGGCCCTCAGACCTCACCATGGCCAGACCTCACAGCCAGTCACACCATGGCCCTCAGACCTCACAGCCAGGCACACCATGGCCCTCAGACCTCACAGCCAGGTACACCATGGCCCTCAGACCTCACAGCCAGGCACACCATGGCCCTCAGACCTCACAGCCAGGCACACCATGGCCCTCAGACCTCACAGCCAGGCACACCATGGCCCTCAGACCTCACAGCCAGGTACACCATGGCCCTCAGACCTCACAGCCAGGCACACCATGGCCCTCAGACCTCACAGCCAGGCACACCATGGCCCTCAGACCTCACAGCCAGGTACACCATGGCCCTCAGGGCCTCACAGCCAGGCACCCCATGGCCCTCAGACCTCACAGCCAGGCACACCATGGCCCTCAGGGCCTCACAGCCAGGCACACCATGGCCCTCAGACCTCACAGCCAGGTACACCATGGCCCTCAGGGCCTCACAGCCAGGCACACCATGGCCCTCAGACCTCACAGCCAGGTACACCATGGCCCTCAGGGCCTCACAGCCAGGCACACCATGGCCCTCAGGGCCTCACAGCCAGGCACACCATGGCCCTCAGACCTCACAGCCAGGTACACCATGGCCCTCAGACCTCACAGCCAGGCACACCATGGCCCTCAGACCTCACAGCCAGCACACACCATGGCCCTCAGACCTCACAGCCAGGCACACCATGGCCCTCAGACCTCACAGCCAGGCACACCATGGCTCTCAGACCTCACAGCCAGGTACACCATGGCCCTCAGACCTCACAGCCAGGCACACCATGGCCCTCAGACCTCACAGCCAGGCACCATGGCCCTCAGACCTCACAGCCAGCAGGCACACCATGGCCCTCAGACCTCACAGCCAGGCACACCATGGCCCTCAGACCTCACAGCCAGGCACACCATGGCCCTCAGACCTCACAGCCAGGCACACCATGGCCCTCAGACCTCACAGCCAGGCACACCATGGCCCTCAGACCTCACAGCCAGGCACACCATGGCCCTCAGACCTCACAGCCAGGCACACCATGGCCCTCAGACCTCACAGCCAGGCACACCATGGCCCTCAGACCTCACAGCCAGGCACACCATGGCCCTCAGACCTCACAGCCAGGCACAACCATGGCCCTCAGACCTCACAGACCCTCACAGCCAGGCACACCATGGCCCTCAGACCTCACAGCCAGGCACACCATGGCCCTCAGGGCCTCACAGCCAGGCACACCATGGCCCTCAGACCTCACAGCCAGGCACACCATGGCCCTCAGACCTCACAGCCAGGCACACCATGGCGCTCAGACCTCACAGCCAGGCACACCATGGCCCTCAGACCTCACAGCCATGGCCCTCAGACCTCACAGCCAGGTACACCATGGCCCTCAGACCTCACAGCCAGGCACACCATGGCCCTCAGACCTCACAGCCAGGTACACCATGGCCCTCAGGGCCTCACTGAAAGACAAGTGAAATATGAATGTTTTAAAAACCCTAAATAGTTGAGAAATAAATAATATTTTTATCATTCGTTAAATTTTTTTAATTAAAAAGCTCTTCTGTTAAATTTTTTCTGTATATTTAATACTCAAAAATTTACTTTTTTGGGGAGCCAAAATTGGTATAACGACGGTTCAATGACCAATAGACGAAAACGTCTCTATTTCATAAATCCAGTTTACAAAATTTTATGTTTTGCTTTAATTGCGTCAGGCTGCGAGGAACTGCTTCCAACAGCCTGGTTGACCAGACCACCAGCCAGGAGGCCTGGTCAGAGACCGGGCCGCAGGTACGCGGATCCACGAAACGGACAACATGTATATATATAGGCAACACCATGTTAGTCAAGGTCTACCTCCAGGCAATGTTGCCATGTTAGTCAAGGTCCACCTCCAGGCAATGTTGCCATGTTAGTCAAGGTCCACCTTCAGCCAGTGTTGTCATGTTAGTCAAGGTCCACCTCCAGGCAATGTTGCCATGTTAGTCAAGGTCCACCTTCAGCCAGTGTTGTCATGTTAGTCAAGGTCCTCCTTCAGCCAGTGTTGCCATGTTAGTCAAGGTCCTCCTCCAGTCAGTGTTGCCATGTTAGTCAAGGCCCACTTCCAGCCAGTGTTGCCATGTTAGTCAAGGTCCACCTCCAGCCAGTGTTGCCATGTTAGTCAAGGTCCACCTCCAGCCAGTGTTGCCATGTTAGTCAAGGCCCACCTCCAGCCAGTGTTGCCATGTTAGTCAAGGCCCACCTCCAGCAAGTGTTGCCATGTTAGTCAAGGTCCACCTCCAGCCAGTGTTGCCATATTAGTCAAGGTCCACCTCCAGCCAGTGTTGCCATGTTAGTCAAGGCCCACCTCCAGCCAGTGTTGCCATGTTTGAGGGAGCGGCTCAATGGTTCAATCGTATAGGGATCCAATGGCTGACTAGCTGGCTCACTGTGTGTGTCTGTGTCTATCTTTGTCTCTCTCTGCTCCGTTAGCTGTGCTACCCCAACCATGACAAACTGAAGCTATTCACCGCTTCTTAAACCACCGTTTCTGCTACACAAATTCTATAAGACACGCCCTATCAGCGTGCTCATCCGTTCCTTTAATGAAAGCACGAACCAGAATAAATGGAGATGGTAAATCATTATTAATTCAAAATTAGGATCCCGTGGGAATTCAAACATTGAACTTTGAAAGTCTTTCATATATATGCGAGTGTCTACGTGTATTGCATGCATGCATAGTTAATATATTTTGGAAGTATTTCTGGACATGTGTTATTGAAAATGGCGAAAGAGCCAGTGGTGGTGATGGTACGAATTGGTCTGTACGAATCGGTCTTTCTCCCTCTCTCCCTTCCCCGGATTGGGACCTGGATTGTACCCGGATGGGGTTCTGTGGGTTCTTCCACTCGCCAAGCCCGGCCCAGAGCCAGGCTTGACTTGTGAGAGCTTGGTCCAACAGGCTGTTGCCATTGATGAATCTATTAGCGTCTATCGTATTGCTCTCACGTTTAACTGAATTGTGTTCCAATTTTGGCGCTGTCGGATAAGCTGTTATTACCATTTCTCCCCTATTCTAGGGGGAGGGGGTGCCTTTTTCTTCCCCTTTTTTGCTTTTCCCCCATTTCTAGGGGAGGGGGGTGCTTTTCCCCATTTCTAGGGGGAGGGGGTGCTTTTTCCCCATTTCTAGGGGGAGGGGGGGGGTGCTTTTCCCCCATTTCCCCATTTCATTTCGAGGGGGAGGGGGTGCTTTTTCCCCTTTCTAGGGGGAGGGGGGTGCTTTTCCCCATTTCTAAGGGGAGGGGGTGCTTGTTTTTCCCCATTTCTAGGGGGAGGGGGTGCTTTTCCCCATTTCTAGGGGGAGGGGGTGCTTTTCCCCATTTCTAGGGGGAGGGGGGTGCTTTTCCCCATTTCTAGGGGAGGGGGGTGCTTTTCCCCATTTCTAGGGGGAGGGGGTGCTTTTTCCCCCAGGGGGTGCTTTTTTCTAGGGGGGGGGGGGGTGCTTTTTCCCATTTCTAGGGGGAGGGGGGTGCTTTTCCCCATTTCTAGGGGGGGGGGGGTGTTTTTCCCTCAAGGGGTAGAGAAGGGGGAGACTATACTATCCTTAGGGACGTATTTATAACGACCCATAACGACTGGAGACAGAAATGCTTTGTCTCTCTTGGGCAGAGAACGAGGCACGCATTGCTGGCCAATAGGAACATTATAACGTATTGGTCTAGTTCATGAAGCGTCATTGGCCTTCTGAAGAGATTCGAGAGTTTGCTTGGTCTTGGAACATTGTGTGTGTGTATTCACCTAGTTGTATTCACCTAGTTATATTCACCTAGTTGTATTCACCTAGTTATATTCACCTAGTTGTATTCACCTAGTTATATTCACCTAGTTGTATTCACCTAGTTATATTCACCTAGTTGTATTCACCTAGTTATATTCACCTAGTTATATTCACCTAGTTGTATTCACCTAGTTATATTCACCTAGTTGTATTCACCTAGTTATATTCACCTAGTTGTATTCACCTAGTTGTGTTTGCGGGGGTTGTGCTTTGCTCTTTCGGCCCGCCTCTCAACTGTCAATCAACTGTTTACTAACTACTACTATTTTTTATCAACCACACACCACACACATACCCCAGGAAGCAGCCCGTGACAGCTGACTAACTCCAAGGTACCTATTTACTGTTAGGTAACAGGGGCATTCAGGGTGAAAGAAACTTTGCCCATTTGTTTCTGCCTGGTGCGGGAATCGAACCCGCGCCACAAAAAATTACGAGTCCTGCGCGCTATCCACCAGGCTACCAGGCCCCCTGTGTGTGTTTGCGTGTACTCACCTATTTGAACTCACCTATTTGTGCTTGCGGGGTTTGAGCTCTGGCTCTTTGGTCCCGCCTCTCAACCCTCTCAACTGTCAATCATTTGAAACTGATGTACATGCTAACTACTTCCTGACGTCTCCTATTTGGGCTCTATCATATCTACATTCCCCTGAGGATTTTGTAGGTTGTGAAACTGTGTATGAAAATTCAGCTACCTTTGGTGTGTGTGCTTGACAAGGTACGGCTCCATGTGTGTGTGTGTGTACAAGATTCTGTGTGTGAACGCCGTTCTGTGTAGCCAGCCTGTGTGTGTCAGGAGACAGGTTTGGTGTGTGTGTCTGTGTGCATACTACTCGGGTTGAACTTCAACAGCCATTTGTTGGACCTCACAGTCTATCCAGGTCATTGTGCTCACCTAATTGTGTTTCAATCCTCCTCTAATTTTGCATCGTCGGCAAACATTGCGGGGAATCTATAGCTTTGGAGCTCTTATGGTCCCGCCTCTCATCTGTCAATCAGACTGGTGTACAAATTCTTTGAGCCTACTGGCTTTCTGACTCTATCATATCTTCATTTAAAACTGTGTATGCTGGAGTCCAGATGCCTCCACCACATCACTGGCCTAATGCATTCCTACCTGTTCCAATATCTGGCACTATTCTGACACTGAAAAAGTTCTTTCTAACGTCCCTATGGTGTGTGTGTGTGTGTGTGTGTGTGTGTGTGTGTGTGTGGGTGTGTGTGTGTGTACTCACCTAATTGTGCTCACCTAATTGTGCTTGCGGGGGTTGAGCTTTGGCTCTTTGGTCCGCGCCTCTCATCTGTCAATCAACTGTTGTACAAATTCCTGAGCCTACTGGGCTCTATCATATCTCATTTGGGTACTCAGTTTCCACCTGTGTCCCCTTTTTTGCGTACCACCAGTGTTGAATAGTTTATCCTTGTCTACCCTGTCAATAACCCTGAGGATTTTGTAGATAGTGATCATGTCTCCCCTTACTCTGCTGTGTGTGTGTGTGTTTGTGTGCTACCAACAGCAATGGCGTGAGGACCCAGAGCCTCAGAGAAGAAGATAAATGACTTCAAAAGCAAATTCAAATCACGTGTAAAATTGAGCAGAAGAAACATTACACTCATTAAAATTAATTTGGTTCTAACACCAAATAACTTGGTATTGTTAGATTATATGATGACCAGACCACACACTAGAAATTGAAGGGACGACGACGTTTCGGTCCGTCCTGGACCATTCTCAAGTCGATTGTGAGAATGGTCCAGGACGGACCGAAACGTCGTCGTCCCTTCAATTTCTAGTGTGTGGTCTGGTCAACATACTTCAGCCACGTTATTGTGACTCATCGCCTGCATGTAGATTATATGATGGTCGAGGTTCAGCCAAAGTTAAATTAGTTATTTAAAATTATTAAAATAAAACTATCCAACCCATTCTCCTGTTTAGATAGTAGTTTTCGTAACTATTTGCCCCATAGTACAAAGATTGACGTACTAAGCAGTTAGATAGTAGAACTTTGTACTATTCACTTTACAGAATCAGAAAAACAATAAGGCTAAAAATAATCTTAAATATTCCTAGGCCTAGTATAGCACACATATGTACTATATTAGGGCCTCAGATATCGTTTATTAGGCCTAAGAAAGTTAGATTAGGTTAAGTTAGTTTCTCTTTGCAACATAAGTAGAAAATAGTTTTTCCGGTTTCTCCAAATCAATAGTGCCAATTTTTACTTTCTAATTTCGTTGTAAGTCGGTATAAGTACTATGGTCCTTATCGTTACTATAAGTACTACCAGAACAGGACGATGGGCTGTTAAAGCTGAGAGAGGCTCGGCGCATCATCACCGTTGTTGTTGTTGTTTTAGATTTAGATACTCAGAACGAAATGTCAATGTAGCACGGGCTATGGTGAGCCCGTAACCATCACCAAGGCCCTTGAGTAAATATTTATCTGTCACTGAAACCCGTCTCGGTGAAAAGTGACGGAATACAAAGCTGCCGTCAATTGGAGACTCGTTACTCATCACCCGTACTCATCACCCGTCACTCATCACCCGTCACTCATCACCCGTCACTCATTTCCATCCCACAATGAAATCAGTCGAAAGAGGGAAGATGGTAAAAGAACAAGGCAGGAAGGGAAGGGAGGTGGAGGGAGAGATAGCAAATGCAGGAGAATAATCAACCCT